TGACAGACGAAAACGGACATCGGATGAAGAAGTTATGAATTTTTAATGGTATTTTCCTATCACGGCCTATTAAAAATATATAATTAAAATAAAATAAAAATTTGCCAATGGAGTCTAAATGAAAGTTGTATATTATATTCTCACCTATGCGTGGATGTAAAGAACGTCAAAAACGGAGCTCGTATGTGAAAGTTACGCATTTAGAAGATTGAGGTACAAAAACGGCGGGGAGTACGCTATAGCGTACGAGGGTACACCCAGCGTACACAGTGCGCGGCCTCGGATCGAACACGTCCCCCGCTACCCTCTATCTTGTCCCATCCGAAGTACGGAGTCCAGAGATGGCGTCATGCATGACGTACGCCCAGCGTACGAGGGCTAGTTCCACCCCTATATAAAGGGTGCGAGGCTTTCGACTTCTTTTGCTAATTCACAACATTTCTCCCACATTTTCTCACTCTCGAGCCTCCCGAAACTATCCTGGCGCCCCGCTTACGTATCTAAGCTCTGATGAAGGTCCGCAGGTCTGAAACTTCCAAGAAAATTTTCCCTTTCCGGTTGAAGTGCTGCCTGAGAAAAATCTCGATTTCTTCTAAGCATCACACTTACCAGGTGAGTTCATACTCCTATATTTTCACATTTTTACTATATTTTAGGTGGAAAAATACAAGTGAAACGCAAGAAAAACTTATGTTAAAATGCAAATCGTTACATACAGCTTCTAATGATTTATCTACATTTTGTGTATAAATGTTAAATAAGTAAAATAACGTTATTTCAAATGTTATACTTTACATGCAAAGTTGGTAAACACCCAAAAAGGTCACAAACAAAGTCTCTCTCAACCTCTACCAAATCTCTATAAGTATGTGAAATCTCTCCCAAATCTCTCTAAATATGTGAAATCTCTCCCAAATCTCTCTAAGTATGTGAAATCTCTCCCAAATCTCTCTAAGTATGTGAAATCTCTCCCAAATCTCTCTAGGTATGTGAAATCTCTCTAAGTATGTGAAATGTCTCCCAAATCGCTCTAAGTATGTGAAATCTCTCCCAAATCTCTCTAAGTGTGCAAAATCTCTCCCAAATCGCTCTATGTATGTGAAATCTCTCCCAAATCTCTCTCAAAGTCTCTCTCAACTTTTTATAGTCATCCAAGTCATCTCGACCATTATCTTAGCCAAAAACTACGCTAAACGGAGAGTTAACGCGAAAAACAGCCTCTTAGAGCCGAACCCTCTTAGGAGCCAAACATGTCAGAAGAGAACTTGTCAGAACCGAACCTCGCAGGCAGCAGCCGAGACCAAACCTTGCAGAAAGTAGCCGAGACCGAGCCTCACTTTCGGTTCCCCCTCTCTCACCTTCATTTCCCTCTCGCACTTTCGGTTCCCTCTCGCACTTCTGGTTCCCTCTTCGCACCTTCGGTTCTCAGCACTTCCAAGAACCGAACCTCGTAGGTTCGGTCCATATTGTCCGGTTTTCGACTACTTTTGCCTCCTAAGATCGTTTTTGACATGAAATTTTCACCAAAAATCATATTTTAACATATAAGACCCTAAATATTCATAATTTAAACACATTTTTAGGGAAATCTTTATCTAGGAATAAAATCTAGTGGGTGAGATATTGGAGGTGGAGTGTTGACTTTACCTTAGTGTGTAACACAAGCAACCTCCCATACTCACTCCAAGGCCATACCCAACCACTATTCCCCCATACCTGGTCATTCATTGTCCTTTTTCCCACCATTATTCTAGCCATACTCTTGAACAAAAGCTGGAAATCCTCATCTCTCTTCCCACTTCACTCCTCTTCCACCAAAGAACAAACTTCATTCTCTCCCACTTCTCTCTCTAAAGATTTCGAGATTTCAAGGCTGATTTTCAAGTTCTTCATCTACCCTTGATAAGTAAAATCACCCTTCATATGATTATTCCACCTCTTACTACTTCAATCATAGATTTCTTACACAAACTTCATCATATATATGTTAGAACTTCGAATCTTCAAACAATCTTCTAAGTGTTCTTGAGTTGAAAACTTCCATTCTTCAACATCCATCCACTGAAATCACTCAAGGTGAGTTCATACCCCCACATTTTCCTGTTTTCTTCAAGTTTTAGGGGGATAATACAAGTTAAATCACCAACAATATAATTAAACTCAAACAACAGCTTTCAACAGAAAACTTAATGTTCATTCATGAACTGTTTTGAACATCTTAAACTTTTTAGTTTTCAAAACTGTATTAGTTACAAACATTTCAGGTTTATACCTTTAAAATGACTACTTGCAAATATCCATACGATTTTTCTACAATTTATGGTGATATTTACAAAACTGCCTATCACTGTAGGTTCGAATTCGGACCAGTCTGTGAATATGGACACTTTCACACAAGTTAGAGACATCTAAAAATCATAATAAAATTTATGAACAAACTAGACATGTTTTCTAAACTCTCAGAGTTTACGGAATCAGTTTTTGACTTCGTATGATTTTGTTGTGATTTTCCCAAAACAGTGCAAAAATGTTAAAAACAAGTTAACAGCTTACAGCTTTCATCACACTTTGTAACGTGTTGAGCAAGGTCTTAATCTTTGATGATTTTATATTTTACCTTTGTTTTACCATTGTGTTATAACTATATAATATAAAATACTCACTGATTGGTAGAGTCCTTTGTCATTATAAATAATACAAGATAAGGCATGATAGACATAGTTATGTTTTTGCTCTACATTTGACTCACATAAAATGGGGTTCATTTGCATTACAAACATTTTGGATAAACTATAATAGGTATAGTTTATGTTTCATATATATTACAAATAGTTATGTTGAACTATAGGAGGTATAGTTTATGTTTCAATTACATTTCAAACTCAGTACCAAAGGTTTTCAGTTCAGTTCACGTAAATATGTTAATAAATAAATTTGTGAAATTAAAAGTCCTGCAAATTGTAACCAGAGTCTATTGTAGGGAGAACATGATAGTTTTATATAGATCTATATTGGGTCTGACAAACCCACACCTGAGTTGCATGCAATAGCTAGACCGGCAGGTCTGGGGTGACAAGTGTCATTTAACTTGCGACGCCTGAAGAACGTCGTATTACGAGGTCGTCTGAGTCATAGTATGGTTATAATAACTCACATGGGGTATTAACAAAACATAAGATTTACGGGTTTTACTTCTAAATTTAACGAGTTTATGTCGATTCAAACTTGCATAAATTTCTTTAAGTATGGTAAAATACTTGTACACTTCGTTCTTGACTTTTAAGACTACAATGCATTACATAAGGAAAATATTAGATTTTTCTCGAACAAACATCACTTTTACAAGAAGAGGATTCTAGTATCACTTTCAAAAGCTTATGAACTCACCAACTTAATTGTTGACACTTTTTAAAAACTACTTGTATTCTCAGGGAATAAATAAACAGGTAATCGGCCGCTTTTGAGGATGAAACGCTAAGGCGTCAAACATTTCATTTCTTTTTGTCAACATAATGTAATTGATTCGGAAACATGTAAACATATACTATGATGTAACTTTTTCAATTCCATTTATGTTGGTTGTCTACACTTTGAGCACTATTATAATTGTTGTTATGATACTATACATGAAGTCCTCCACCCTCGGACGTTTCCGTCATCCTTGGTTTAGGGGTGTGACATTCGCTTATAGTTTTGGGTTATGTTTCAAGTACTTCGGATAATCACGGGAAGGCAAATGTGTGATCGTACACATCCTCATGTTTTGACTTATGATTTTGGGAGACTCTGATGTTGAACATGTTTTGAAAACTATGTTTGTAAACAATTTGTGAAATTGGTGGTTTTTGAAAATTTAAATTTATCAGTATTTTTATGAGTGTTACATCTTTCTTATTAGGCAAGATGAATAAGTCATCATTCATAGGGACTTGTAAAAGAGGTGAAGGATTGTTGGATCTCATACACACTGACGTGTGTGGACCCTTCAGATCTTCCATAAGGGAAGGTAAACATTACTACATTACATTTACTGATAACTTCAGTAGATGTGATTATGTTTATCCAGTTAAACATAAGTCAGAAACTTCTGAAAAGTTCAAATAGTTTCAAAACGAAGTAAAGAATCAATTGTGCAAGAAGATAAAGATTTTGCGATCCGACAGGGGAGGAGAATACCTTAGTATCGAGTTCAATGATCATCTTATAGATTGTGGAATAGTCTCACAATTGGCTCCTCCAAGAACACCACAACTTAATGGTGTTGTTGAAAGAAGAAATCGACTTTGTTATATATTGTTCAATCTATGATGAGTCAAACTTCATTACCAATCACATTTTAGGGTTATGCACTTGAAACAACAACCCATATCTTAAACCTTGTTCTAACTAAGAAGGTGTTAAAAGACACCTCATGAGATGTGGACATAAAAAGTTCCTTCAAAAGGCTTTTAGATATTTGTTTTACACACACAGTGATATTTGGATATTTGTTTTACAGAAGCCCATATCCTAAATCCTATTCCAACTAAGAAGTTTTGCTTTGTTGGTTATCTACAAAAGGCTTTTGGATATTTGTTTTACAGACCCAACGAAAACATGGTGTTTGTATCTCGAAGAAGAATGTTCCTTGAGAGAGACCTTATATCTAAAGAAGTTAGTAGGAATCTTACTGACCTTGAAAGGATTCAAGAGTCAATAGATAATGAATCTTTAGTTAACACGAGCGCTAACATGTTGAGCCATTACCTCTTCGCATATCCGGTAGAGTTAGCAACCCTCCAAGTTTTATTGTTTCCATGTAATGACAGAAGGAAACACGTTTATTTGTGATAGGACACTAGTAAATCTGGATGAGCCAGCTAACTATAAGGAAGCGATGACAGGCCTTAAGGCTGCCCAATTGAAAGAGACAATGAACAACGAAATTTAGTCCATGATGGATAACCAACTTTGAAATTTGGTTGATCGAACACATGGTTTTAAGACATTAGGTTATAAGTAGACAGACATGGATGAAAATTTACACAAAGCCTGTATTTACTATTTTTTATTATTTTTTATTTTTTTATAAAAATTGTAAAATATTTAGTTTGTTCTATGGGTTGGTGACCCAACTCGCCGTTAAAAGCCCGTCAATTTTCTGGGTAATGAATCCTCTTATGATGCGACTTGTTGATCCTGATCTATACGAACTTCCATTCTAGGCAATGATCTAACGATAACTTGCTATCCGATTCAACTAGGAATTTTGTAATTAGTCAGTAGATCACATGCTCTTCCTATTGAGAAGGATATCATCGCTATCAATCGCAACAACATCACCCTTATCCTACTCTGCTCCCCTTTCTAGGCTCAACAACATGGCGTCGATCAACAACAACGGGAGTTCGTCGAGGTTATCGGTGTTAGCTCAGCAGCTCCGCCTTTACAAGCCGCCGCCGGGTGATGCTGAGGATGATGACGAAGTCGTTTCTCAAGTGGGTTTTGCAGAATCCGCAACCCCAGTTGGGAATCGGCCTTCGGAAAGATTTAGACCTAAAAGAGCTGCTGTTTTGATCTGCCTTTTTGAAGGGAATAACGATGGTAGTGGCGAGGATCTTCGTGTGATTCTTACTAAAAGATCTTCTAGTCTCTCTACACATTCAGGTACTTCCTGCTCTAGTAGTCTTCAACTCACCAATTTGCGAAATTGTTAACGAATACCTAGAAATTGAATTGATTAATAATTTCAGTTTTGGGGTTTATCACTTCCATTAACTATATACATTGAGTGGCATAATTAGGCATTTCTAGCATTCAATAATCTTTTCAGTTTTCGCTAACATTCTTTTGGCTTTTGATCAAGTGAATTGGGTATTTTTCATCGATATGAGGTTGTTATATCAAATTGTGTGTGTGAAATTCCTAAAAGAAGAAAACAAACACAAAATTAATCAAACGTTATGTGAGGTAATCCATAAATATTACAACTTTAGTCCTGTAAGATTGGGGCAATTTTGTAATTTTGCATTACAAATTTGAACATTTTTTAACTAATAGCTTTATTCAAATATTACAAAATATCTAATTATTAACTTTTGTAGCTACATGCTTTGATTTATTGGTGTGTTATTGCATCCTACTTTGTCATTTCTTTCTATTACAACTTTTAACTTTTAACTTTTTTCTTATTAAGGAATTGCATTTTGAAAGATCTACAAGATTATATCATTTCTTTAGAAAGAAGTGAGAAAAGAGGTTAATATATAAATTATTAATAATTAAATATAATAATAAAGAAACCAATAAAAGTAGGTTGTTATTTCTTGCATTTAAGCCTTAAATTATGAGTTTAGGCGAAGTCTCATTGCCCGGAGGGAAAGCCGAGGAAAATGATACAGATGATGCTTACACTGCAACAAGGGAAGCAAAGGAAGAGATAGGGCTCGATCCTTCACTTGTAAATGTTGTAGCTGTTCTTGAGCCATTTTTGTCCAAGGTATTCAAGGGGATTTATTTATTTATTTATTTATTTATTTATTTATTATTATTATTATTATTTTACTTAATCCGACCAAAAAAGAAAAACACAGCTTAGGTTGTGTTTGGCCGCCACAACTAGCTGATTTTTCGAACTTTTATAAGTTGTCATGTTTGGCAAACCAAAAAGTAGCTGAAAAGCTAACTTTTTAAAAAGCTACTTAGACTAGCTTTTTAGGAGCTTTATAAAATTTTTCTAAATATACACTTAATTAATTATAAAAAAAAAAAAACACACACATTCTTTTAAATGCTTATTTATGTTATTTTATTTATTTCAGCTAGCTTATCAGCTAATTTTACCAAACATTATTTTTTATCAGCTAGTTTTTCATATAACAGCTAGCTTTTTAGCTATTAGCTAGCTTTATAGCTAACTAGTTTTTCCAACTAGTACATCAAACGTAGCCTTAATGTATTAAGAGCTAAGACACTAACCCCTTAACTTTATGCCTTTCTTCTCACGTTAAAATTGATGAATATCGTGAAAATTGTGTCTTTTTAATGTAAGGGTAAAATGGTCATTTAGTTTCATTCAGACGTTCGGTTTAGAAATGAAACATGCATTATATATATAACAATGACACTTTGATGCTCCTAGATTAAGCCATGTTTCTATTTGTGAAGGTAAAATGGTCATTTACTTTGATGTAAGGGTAAAATGGTCATTTTCTTTGATGAACGCCATGTAAGGGTAAATCTGTCGCTCGCATAAATTGTCATAATAGAAACATGGCTTAATAAAAGTAAACATGGTCATTTGGTTTGTTTTTTTGGAATGTAAGGGTAAAACGGTCATTTACTTTGATGAATATTGTGAATCTTGTAAAATGGTGTGTTTTATGATATTTAAGTAACTAAAATCTAAAAATTTGAAGGTTTCATTTACAGCATCTTCTACGAGTAATTCCTGTAATTGGCATACTGTCTGATAGAAGTGCATTCAATCCAACTCCTAATGTTGATGAAGTAGATGATGTCTTTGATGCTCCTTTAGAAATGTTCTTAAAGGTAATATTTATATCCAATTCAAACCTCACACTTTGAATATGTTTACATTTTAGGCCTAAATGCAAGAAATAGCAATGTACTTTTATTTATTTATGTATTATAGCATCCTACTTTCTTTCTTTCTATTACATTATTTTGTTTTCAATTTTGTTCTTTTTAAGACATTGCATTTTGAAAAATACGCCCAATTTTTAACACTATGTTTTCAAATATTTTTTCTTATTAGAACATTATACCTTGCATTTTTCATTTTTTCCGATCTAGCCCCTGTAGTCGTTTTTCTCTAAAAAAAATTGTCAAATGTCACAGTTTTTTCTGGAAAAACAAAAAAAGTTGAGGGTTTATTTGGAAACTTATAAAAGGCTAAGTTTTTTTTTTCAGAAAAAAAAAAGGACAAAGTTGAGGGTTTTTTCGGAAAAATGAAAAAAAAAATCTAAGGTCTTTTCATGAAAAAAATAAAAATGATGTTTAATCCTGAAAAAAACACAAAGATTAACCCTATGTTTATTTGTTCATTCTCCATATAAATTCTCATACAATTCTCTAATAAGTTCCAACTTTTTCAAATTTCAATGTAGAGTTTGACTTTTTTTTTTTTTTTCTAAATTTCTTCACACAAATACAAATTTTATAATTCAGGATGAAAATCGAAGATCCGAACAACGCGAATGGATGGGAGATACGTATTTAATTCATTTCTTTGACTATAAAATAAATGGAAAAAGTTATTTAATTTGGGGTCTCACTGCTGGAATTTTAATTAGAGCCGCATCCATTGTGTACAAAAGACCACCTGCTTTTATTGAACAAAATCCGAAATTCAAAGTTCCTGAAATTGCAAATAAGGACACCACAATGCCATAAAAAAAACTCATTGAGATTAAATAAAAATTTCGGTCAAATTCAACCGTTGACCTTGAAATATTGATGGGTGGAATTGGTGGCGATGATGGAAGAATCCGGCCACCATGGTGGTGGTGGTGATTGAAGAAATGGTGAATTTCTTTGTTTACTCTTTGGCACCCTTTACTTTTATAGAGTTGCGTGTATAGTCCTTGAAGTAAGTTAAAAAATATATGTTGACACAATTGTATTGAGGTTATCTTGTTGACATGAAACAGATAGTGTTCACATATTTTTGTCATTTTAATAAATTTGATTGGTGTATTGCTGACGTGTGGCATTGTATTTGGTGTTTGAAATTGGAAAATTCCATTTACACTCTTATAAAATTATAAAACTTCAAATTAGATGTATATTCTTACAAAAACTATTAATGAATATATTCAAATACTTAACTGAATGATAATATATTTAAATATTAAAAACAATATCATTAAATTAAATAATAACTAAGTTATTAAAATACCTATTTACAATCTTTCTCATAATTGATCTTCTTCACAATATGGTTATTCACAACATGATTATTTGTCGTTTCATATTCTACATAATTGATTAGCAAAACGTATTGATTGACTGATTGCATATTCCTAATCGATTGAAAAACAGTATAGTTCATCTCTTATAATCAATTTATGAGACCCAAGTTTATTCTCTTCTAAACAATTTTATTGCATACTCATACTATTTTTTAGTATACATACATATTATTTACTTATTAATATGTATAAATAAATATTTAACAAACCGTTATGTGTAAATGAAATGTTTTTACACAAAAAGTGTATTTTATTCATAAATATGTACTTTTATATTTAAAACTTTATTTTTATGTATAAAAATGTTTTTTGATATTTAAAAATATATAAAAATAAATGTAAAAATTAATGCATTAAATTTAGAATAACTATCAAAATTGTTATTATTAAATTATTTGTGAATGGTCAATGTGCTTTAAACAAGTGGGTCTTATGATAAACTTTTTGCATGGATGGTTTTTAAGAAAATCTTTACATGATCCTTTTAATTAACATTTTTCTGTTAAATGTGGGAGTATACATATTAACCGAAAAAACGAACCAAAATCAAATTAATCGAACCATTACTAAAAAAAGTGCTACAGTTTCTATTTTTATTAACTAAATATATATGGTTCGGGTTATGGTTTTCATCCAAAACCAAACCAATAATATTAATAATTATTTTTAATACAATATAATATTAAATATATGGTATGTAATTATATTTAGAATTGAAAATTTAAAAAATAATTATTTTGAATTAAATGGGATACTTAATCTTTTATCATATTAATATAGTTATAAACACTATTGTTCACTTTTTATAACAATGTATTTTAAGTTTTTTTTTTTTTTTTTTTTACTTTTTATAGCAAAAAACCAGCATCTCTCCCCTTCAAGTCTCGAGTTGCAAGTTTGAAGGGGAAAAAAAAAACTTGTGTCCAGTTGCAATATAAGTGACAAGTTTTGTGAAGCATTGAAAGACTTTCGATTTGTGGCTTATGTGAAAAATACATAAATAATTGGCGTAATCGTCAAGAAAAGTGTAATATTGATTTGCATAAACCAAGTTTTTAGGTCCATCCAGTGTACCATAACACGTGTATATATATATGTGTATATATATATATATATATATATATATATATATATATATATATATATATATATATATATATATATATATATATATATATATATATATGAAATGAATACCCAACTATAAAAATATCACTATTCACTAGCTAACGCAACTTTTACCTAGAAATTTATTTAAAAAAATCTTTTACATTATCATGTACTTGAAGATTATAGAAGCTAAATCCTCCTAATTTCAGACCTATAATTATAATAAACTATTTTATCAATGTAAAGAGATCCATTTGCTAGCAAAAATTGTTCAAGAGAAACACGCCAAAGCTCAAAGCTGGGAACGTGATTAGAGCAGATGCCTGAAATATTCAATCTTTAGATAAATACGGATTTAATTCTTCGTTTAATTCATAAAGATGATTTTTTAAAATAAAGAAGACTTGTTTACATAAATGGTCCCTGTGGTTTACCAAAGGTCACAAACTCAGCCCTTACTAATTATTTTTAACAATCATGGTCCCTGTGGTTTCTAAAAGTTGCATGAATGGTCATTTTTGCTAACACCGTTAGTTTTAATCCATTAGTGTGAGGGTAATTTAGTCTTTTTAGGTACCAGGGACTGAGTTTGTGGCTTTTCCACCCCTTTACTTTTTAAATTTTCATTTTCACCCTTCACTTTGAACTTTGTAAAGTGCTATTTTTAACCATTCATTTTTTAAACATTCATTTTTCAAAATGATCCCTATGGTTTACCCATTATCACAAACTCAGTCCCTGCTACCTAAAAAGACCAAATTACCCTCACACTAACGGACTAAAACCAAAGACCAAATTACCCTCACACTAACGGACTAAAACCAACAATGTTAGCAAAAAGGACCATTCATGCAAGTTTAAAATTAGCAAGGACTGAGTTTGTAACCTTTGGTAAACCACAGGGACCATTTATGTAATTTTGTGAATAAAGAATAATGCAAAAGGAAAAGAATCTTACCAAGAAAAAGACTACTTCTTTGTTGGCATAAGCAGCAGTGTATTTCCATTTCTGCATTTCATTCTTTACAAACCATTGCAGCTGAATAAAACACACAAATGTCAATATTTTTTAATTTGAAATTCAATCAGCTACATTTACGAATATACCCCTGTGGTCATTGTACAACAGGCATTGCCCAATTGTACAACAAGGGTAAACTCGTAAGAATGTTCAAATAGTTTACAATCTCATTTTCTTCACCAAAATAGAAAGTGTGTTGGGGTGGGGTGGGTGGTTGGGTGGGTGGGGGGGGGTACCTGGTGATGATACTGTTTTACTGCTGACCAACTTCTTCCCATCATTCTCCCCAAGTCATCAACAAGACTTCCAAGTTGACTTTTGGCAAACTACAAATAATAGTTATTATTAGAGTAAATTACACGAATGGTCCCTATGGTTTGGGGTAATTTGCGCGTTTGGTCCCTAACTTATTTTTTTTAACATGTTTGACATTTACAATTGAAAGTATGAAAAATGAAGTATTATGTATGGGGTACCTTTAGAAAATAGCACCTGGTAGCATTCCTTTTGGCTTCCTGTATTTGCCTCTGTATTATAATGTAAGGGCATTCACGTCTTTTTCTTTTGCACAGACAAACTTTTGTCTCATTGAAATTACAGATAATGTAAAAGCATTAATAAGAAATAAGTCAATGGAAGAAAACAAACCTGTGAAATTTCAACAGCCTGTTCAAGATGTTGAATATGAATCCATTGTTCTGTTACAATTGCAGCCATCTGTGTTGATATTAATAAACAATTTTTTTTTTGAAAGAGATAATAATGAATTCAGTGATTTTGTAAAAGTGGTAAACAGATATTAAATAGGAAACTATAGATATGTTAAGGGATAATCAGAAACATTCTTAACCAAATACTAAAAGTTGATTATCTACAGCTTATCATGAAACACTTTCAAATTGTAACAATAGAATTAAAGAAAAGAAATCACTAACCTTTTCAACCCTTGATTTGGTTACTTTCAGCCTTTTTTCAGTATCTTGTGCTTTGGATTCCAAGTTGTGAAGCTCAAAATTGTTTCTTCTTGCAGTATCCCAAAGATGTCGAACCTGAACACAGGCATCTGATTTAGTTTAGTTACATTTGTTACAAGTGAAATAAAATGAAAAGTTTATTTATTTAATAGCATTCAACCTCTTCTTCAAGCTGAGTAACCCTTTCATTTGAACTTGATGAATCATTCTGCAAACACATGATGGGAATGAAGAGGGCATTTATGTCTTTTACACAAACGAGAGTGCAAGAGTGAGTTTCTTTCTACCTTGTTCCACCTTTTTTGGTGGAACAAAAATTGCAACTTTTGTCATGATGACATCAGTTTAGAGTCTTAATCCAATGCGTGCGAAAAATTGTACAATAGAAGAAATAAATATGAGAACCTTCATAGATAACAAAACAGATTGCAAATGATCAACTTCATTGCTCATCTCCTCAATCATCTTCTCACTTTCTTTGACATAAAGATCTTTTGAATCTACTAATGAATTGCTTTCCACAAGGATAGATTCTGCATTAATGTACACATGGACAACAATGAAAAAAGCAATATTCATGATTTTGCACAAAGTGTTTCTTTCTAAACCCTACTATTTGAAAGAACACAAATACCAAAATATATTGAGATAACATATGTAGTAATCAGAAGCAGTAGTTCTTGAGTTACTAAATATTCCTGGAAGATTTAAAGATTATGGATTTTGTAGGTTTACTTTCCATAGTGAAATGTTAGATTTGGTGCTAAACTGCTAATGTACTATTACATTACGAACTTTCAACTTAGGATCATAAAATTTAAATTTGCAAAACCTTGATAACTACATCGAAGTTAGTAAATAGCACTTCGAATAGAAGGTTTTCATCAGTTGCAGCTTCCAATTTGAAAAAGTTGACTCAGGAAGATCAATGCTCTTTCGCATATTTACAGCTAATGAGAAAGTAAACAAAAATGGATATGCTATTAAGAAATCAGTTGTGAATAATAATCCGATGCTAAAAAGAAAACAATTTCGAGATCGAAGAACAACTTACCTAATCTAACGACCTTTAGCTCCGCTTCTCGAATTTCATCGATCAAATGTCGGCGAGCATCGCTGCCAGTGCGTGAAGATTGAGGAATCACAGCCATTGAGTTGCATATTGTTAAGAGATAAACTAACAAAACGGCGGGAAGCATGGAAGGTGAGATCGCCATTGTTCTTCGTCTGCTCCCTCACAGAAACTCCGGTCAATGATTATTTTAGTTTTAAACATCAAAGAGTTTCATTGTAGTCCATATTCTTCGAGTTATGTACAGTATAGGTAGAAATGGACTTAACAATAAAAATAACTATTTTGGTAGCAATGGACTAATTCCCAAATCATAAACAAAATTAAAATTTAGGAGGACATAAAAGTGGACCAAAGCTAAGCAATAAAAGTAAAATCAATTTCGGTAGCAATAGAAACTTAGAAAGACGCCAAATTACAAAATTTATGGACCAAATAGAAAATTAAGTCATTAAGAGGACTTGAGTTGCCAAACTGAAAAAATTAGGTACCAAAGTTCCTAAATAGCAAAGTCCACCGACTTTGTTATAGAGTATAATATAAGATTAGAGGGGATGAGAGGGAAGCTTCCATCATTTTTTGGTCATACCTTTATTTTTTTCATTTTTCTTTCCCTCACCTAAAACCCAATGAATGTGGGAAGTTATTCTCTGACTTTTTTTTTTAAATATATTTCATACATATATTATACTCATTTTGTAGGAAATTAAAAACCATAAGTTTTGATATACTTTTTATATTTTTTTAGTAAGTATATAATTTTATAAATATTAAAGAAGATAAATAAATAAATAAAAACCCTGACCAATAGCATGAAGGGAGAGAGTGCGGCACCCCCTCCCCCATCTCTTTCCTGCAGCTTTTTTCCCTCACATTTCCCTCACCCACGGAGTGGTGTGCAGGAGTGAGGGAAGCTTCCCTCACCCTTTTCCCGCACCCACTCCGTCTAATTTTAAAGAATTGTAGCAATGGTTAAGTGTTTGCTTTTGTAATTATGTCTCATATTTTTGGTGAACTTTATAGATCAAGGCTATTTTTAGATAAAATATTCAACCAAGTATCTTCTCTGGTAAAGAAAACATAATGAATATTCAAAATAAAAGACGAGTCTTGACTGCTTCGTCTTCACAAAACCTGGTTTTCGTACCTGTCTATTTGTGACATGAGAATACAAGTTATTTTGAAAGTGAGTATCAGCAATAAAACTTGTGAATTCATAAGTATTTATGTGTCTTTGATTTATAAAAACTGTAAAGAAAAGACTTAGTAAATGTTTGTAGAAAAGTTTATATCATTGAAAATGTTTATAAGTAATTGTAAACGTTTGAAAACCCTAGAAAATCTCATATTTCCTACTAGTATATATAGTAGTCTTCTACCAAGACTCAATTGTTTTGAAAGTATGCATCACTGTAAATGTGACGGTTTTTCCCCTGTATAACTATTATTATTATTATAAAACTATTGTCTACCTCATCGTTTATGTGTATGTGTCAAAAAATAAGGTAATAATGAAAATAGTATATCTATATCAAATATATTTTACCTCATCGTTCATGTGAATGTGTCACAAAGTAAAGGTAAGAAGGAAGATAATATAATAACAAAAATTGCATCCTTTTGCACTAGGATATTCACGGCGTGGTAACTCGCCGAATAATACAATCGTAGACACCCGTCGATGTGCATTTTCCCTACTGTAACTAACAGCCTTGGGGGTGGAATGGTAAGTCCCGAAATGTAAGTAATAGTATTTATGTAATAGTATCTATGTAAATGTATTTATGTAATCGTATCTCTTGTAATTGTATGTCTTGTAATTGTATGTAATCATATCTCTTCATATAGTATGTAATGTATTAGTATTCTTGTAATTGTATCTCTTTATATAGTATGTAATGTATTAGTATAGACTCATGAATGAACTGACTCTTGTGTGATTCTTTGTACTTATAATAGTAAGTAGTATCTCCTAACTATACTTATTATAGTTACTAGTAATGTACGTGTATAACCGAAAGTATGCATTTGCTACCCAAAGGTACTGAACTGACTGATGGAACTTTTATGTCTATG